TTGGGGAGCATAATGCCCCCCAGCATTATTCTTCTTTCTCAGAATTGCTTTGGCTATTCGAGGTCTTCTGTGGTTCCATATGAATTTTAAAACAGTTTTCTCTAGTTCATCGAAGAATGCTGTTGGTATTTTGATATGAATTGCATTGAATCTATAGATTGCTTTAGGCAGAGTTGGCCATTTTGACAATATTAATTCTTCCTATCCATGAGCACGGGATGTGTTTCCATTTATTGGTATCTTCTTTAATTTCTCTTAAGAGTGTATTGTAGTTTTCAGGGTATAGGTATTTCATTTTCTTGGTTAAGTTTATTCCTAGGTATTTTATTCTTTTTGATGCAATTGTGAATGGAATTGTTTCCCTGATTTCTCTCTCTGCTAGTTCGTATAGGAATGCCACAGATTTCTGTGTATTAATTTTGTATCTTGCAACTTTGTGGAATTCAGATATTAAATATAGTAGTTTTGGAGTGGATTCTTTAGGGTTTTTTATGTACAATATCATGTCATCTGCAAACAGGGACACTTTAACTTCTTCCTTGCCAATCTGGATGCCTTTTATTTCTTTGTGTTGTCTGATTGCCATGGTTAGGACCTCCAGTACTATGTTGAAAAGAAGTGGGGAAAGTGGGCACCCTTGTCTTGTTCCCGATATTAAAGGAAAAGCTTTCAGCTTCTCGTTGTTAAGTATGATGTTGGCTGTGGGTTTGTCATATGTGGCCTTTATTATGTTGAGGCACTTGCCCTCTATGCCCATGTTGTTGACAGTTTTTATCATGAATGGATGTTGAATTTTGTCAAATGCTTTTTCAGCATCTATGGAGATGATCATGTCGTTTTTGTCCCTCTTTTTGCTGATGTGGTGAATGATGTTGATGGATTTTCGAATGTTGTACCATCCTTGCAATCCAGAATAAATCCTACTTGATCATGATGGATGATATTTTTCATGTATTTTTGAATTCGGTTTGCTAATATTTTGTTGAGTATTTTTGCATCTGTATTCATCAGGGATACTGATCTGTAGTTTTCTTTTTTTTGTGGTATCTTTGCCTGGTTTGGTATTAAGAGTGATGCTGGCCTCATAGAATGAGTTTGGAAGTATTCCCTCCTCTTCTACTCTTTGGAAAACTTTAAGGAGGATGGGTATTAGGTCTTCACTAAATGTCTGATAAAATTCAGTGGTGAAGCCATCTGGTCCAGGAGTTTTGTTCTTAGGTAGTTTTTTGATTACCAGTTCAATTTTGTTGCTGGTAATTGGTCTGTTTAGATTTTCTGTTTCTTCCTTGGTCAGCCTTGGAAGGTTGTATTTTTCTAGAAAGTTGTCCATTTCTTCTGGGTTATCCAGTTTGTTAGCATATAATTTTTCATAGTATTCTCTCAAAATTCTTTGTATTTCTGTGGTGTCCGTAGTGGTTTTTCCTTTCTCATTTCTGATTCTGTTTACGTGTGTAGATTCTCTTTTTTTCTTGATAAGTCTGGCTAGGGGTTTATCTATTTTGTTTATTTTCTCGAAGAACCAGCTCTTGCTTTCATTGATTCTTTCTATTGTTTTATTCTTCTCGATTTTATTTATTTCTGCTCTAATCTTTATTATGTCCCTCCTTCTACTGACCTTGGGCCTCATTTGTTCTTCTTTTTCTAGTTTCATTAATTGTGAGTTTAGAGTGCTTATATGGGATTGTTCTTCTTTCTTGAGTAGGCCTGTATTGCAATATACTTTCCTCTTAGCATGGCCTTGGCTGCATCCCACAGATTTTTTGTGGTGTTGAAATACTGTTGTCATTTGTCTCCATATATTGCTTGAGCTGTTTTTATTTGGTCATTGATCCACTGGTTATTTAGGAACATGTTATGAAGCCTCCATGTGTTTGTGGGATTTTTCATTTTCTGTGTATAATTTCTTTCTAGTTTCATACCTTTGTGGTCTGAGAAACTGGTTGGTACAATTTCAATCTTTTTGAATTTATTAATGCTCTTTTTGTGGCCTACTATATGATCTATTCTTGAAAATATTCCATGTGCATTTGAGAAGAATGTGTATTCTGCTGCTTTTGGGTGTAGAGTTCTGTAGATGTCTGTTAGGTCCATCTATTCTAATGTGTTATTCAGGGCCTCTGTCTCCTTACTTATTTTCTGTCTGGTTGATCTTTCCTTCAGAGTGAGTGGAGTGTTGGAAGTCTTGTAGAATGAATGCATTGCATTCTATTTCCCCTTTTAATTCTGTTAGTATTTGTTTCACATATGTAGGTGCTCCTGTGTTGAGAGCATAGATATTTATAATGGTTATGTCTTCTTGTTGGATTGACCGTTTTATTATTATGTAGTGTCCTTCTTTGTCTCTTGTGACTTTCTGTTTTGAAGTCTATTTTGTCTCATACAAGTACTGTAACTCCTGCTTTTTTCTCTTAGTTGCTAGAAATATCTTTTTCCATCCCTTCACTTTTAGTCTGTGTATGTCTTTGTGTTTAAAGTGAGTCTCTTGTAGGCAGCACATAGATGGGTCTTGTTTTTTATACATTCAGTGACTCTGTCTTTTGATTGGTGCATTCAGTTCATTTACACTGAGGGTGATTATCGATAGGTATGTACTTATTGCCATCACAGACTTAAGATTAGTGGTTACCAAAGGTTCAAAGTTAACTTCCTTACTATCTAAGAGTCTAACTTAACTCACTTAATATGCTATTACAAACACAACCTAAAGGTTTTTTTCTTTTTCTCCTCCTTTTTCCTCCACCTCCATTCTTTATATATTAGGTATCATATTCTGTATTCTTTGTCTATCCCTTGATTGACTTTAGAGATAGTTAATTTAATTTTGCATTTGCTTAGTAATTAGCTGTTCTACTTTCTTTACTCTGGTTTTATTACCTCTGGTGACAGCTAGTAAACCTTAGGAACACTTCTATCTGTATCAGTCCCTCAAAAATAGACTGTAGAGATGGATGTGGGAGGCAAATTCTCTCAGCTTTTGCTTATCTGGAAATTGTTTAAACCCTCCTTTAAATTTAAATGATAATCTTGATGGATAAAGTAATCTTGGTTCAAGGCCCTTCTGCTTCATTGTATTAAATACATCATGCCACTCCCTTCTGGCCTGTAAGGTTTCTGCTGAGAAGTCTGATGTTAGCCTGATGGGCTTTCCTTTGTATGTGATCTTATTTCTGTCTCTGGCTGCTTTTAATAGTCTGTCCTTATCCTTGATCTTTGCCATTTTAATTACTGTATGTCTTGGTGTTGTCTTCCTTGGGTCCCTTGTGTTGGGAGATCTGTGGATCTCCATGGTCTGAGAGCCTATCTCCTTCCCCAGATTGGGGAAGTTTTCAGCAATTACCTCCTCAAAGACACTTTCTATCCCTTTCTCTCTCTCTTCTTCTTCTGGTATCCCTATAATGTGAATAATGTTCTGTTAGGACTGGTCACACAGTTCTCTCAATATTCTTTCATTCTTAGAGATCCTTTTTGTTCTTCGTGCCTCAGCTTCTTTGTATCCCTCTTCTCTAGTTTCTACTTCATGTATAGTCTCCTCTACCGTATCCAATCTGCTTTTAATACCCTCTAGGTGCTCTTCAACGATTGGATCTCTGACTGGAATTCATTCTTGAGTTCTTGAATATCTTTCCGTACCTCCATGAGCATGTTAATGATTTTTATTTTGAACTCCCTTTCAGGAAGAGTCATAAGGTCAATGTCATTTAAATCTTTCTCAGGGGCCAGGTTCCTTTGGCATTTCATATTTGTATATGGCGCCCTCTAGTGTCCAGAAGCTCTACTCTCTGGAGCTGCTCAGCCCCTGAAGCAATGTCAGGGGTCACAGGGGAGTGGCATTGGTGCCTGGGGAGAGGAAAGAGCTGTTTCCTGCTTCTCTGCCACTATGCCTGTCTCCACTGCCTGAACCAGTGGGCTGAGCACACAGATACAAGCTTTTGTCCCAGAGAAGCCAGATATGGATCCCTCCTTTCCACAAGCGGCTGGAATCTCAGTCTCTCCAAGAATTCTGCCTGTCTTAGCTTTCCAACCCCTTAATCATGAGAGTATCATGAAAGCACCATGGAATGTAGGTTTGTGCTCCCAGAGCAGATCTCTGGGGTTAGGTATTCAGGAGTCCTAGGCCTCCACTCCCTCACCACTCCCCCGGGGTGGGGGAAGGGCTTGGGTCCAGCCAGGCAATGGCTTTGGTATGTTACCCTGTTCTGTGAGGTTTATTCTTTTCTCCAGGTGTATGCAGTTTGGCGCAGCCCTCTTCCTGTTGCTCTTTCCAGATTAGTCCTATTAATTATATTTTCATATTATATATGGTTTTAGGAGGAAGCCTCTGTCTCACCTCTCATGCCGCCATCTTTAATCCTCTTCTCTACATTCATTATTTATAAGGCAGGTATGATGTTAGTAAATATCTGGAAAGAAAATTCTAGACCCCACCCTACTTCCTTCCATATTGTGATTATCACACTGCAGAACACTTCCAGTTCTGCAGAACAAATGCTAATGACCCATTAACAGCAGGAAACTGTAAAACTTTGCTGCTTTAACAGTAAATCAATAGCTATGGCCCATCCTCTTCACTATTTCTTCTTAAAATCATTCCTAAAACTGAAAAAGTTACAGTTAAATTAAGAAGCCAAAGCATTCAAATGTTTTCTATCATGAAAGAGAAAGTTTTAAAAATGACATAAATATTCTAAGTTTTAACCTCTAGATATACAGTGAAGTTTTAACTCAAAGACCTTAAACATTTCTTCACATCTAAGGAAGAATTTGGGGAGGCAGAAGCCTGGGCTACAGTCCAGTCTGTACTTAGGGTAAATAAATCATATGCTCTCTGTACCTTGTCTTAATATGTTCGAAGTATCTACAATAACCATCTGTCTCATATGGCTGGTGGGAAGATCTTTTACCTGCTACAAATCAGGAGGTATAAAAAACACTTCTAATACAAACAATCCAATACAACCCGATGAAGCTTGGGAACCAGAGGAGATATGAAAGGTAGGTACCTCGTAGTTTGAGAGGAAATCTAATAATTCTGATTGAGATGGGATGTAGAGAAGTGGTTTCATCACCCGGCGGACAAACTTCTCAATGTAAACAGCACTCATGGGGCCTTTGTATTCGATTGGTCCAAAACTAGTACCAAAAAAAATAAAAATGAAAATAAAAATAATACACCATGCATTAAACTTGTAATGTACAACTGAAATCATCAACACCACAAAATGAAACGTCTTACTTTAAAAGAATCCTAACTGATTCATGTTTAAGTAGCCTTCTATGTCTCAGGCAGTGACTAGAGGGCTCAGTAAGAAAAAGCATTTGATGTGACAGGAGGTACAAGCAACCATTACTCTTCTATGAGCTTAATTCAACTGCAAACTGAATTTCAAAACAAAGAACATTCTCTGAAAAAAAAATTCCCACAATATTTCTTTAAAAAAAAAAAAAAAGAAAACAGAAAGGCGACCCTGGAAACTGACCAAATGCTAAGATTCCAGGCTCTTCACTACGCAATCAATGTAGGCGGAAGACCTTCCTTTCACATGTGACTGTAAAATAAGAAACAAGCTAAGCAGCTGGCCCTTGGCCCACTAAAACATAATTATTCAATATTACCAAAGCACTTACACAAAAGATTACTAAATAAGCCTTAAACCTATTTAACGCTTTATTGCAACAATGACGGGAAGTATTTGAAGGTATGAAGTCAGGGGCCTGTATAATGATCTTCCTTATTTTCCCTTCCAGTTGTGCTTGGGGATGCACAGGAATTTGATTTAGCACTGCAAGCAACGCTACGACCACTCAGTTACCCTCCTAAGCTAATCGAAATCCTCACATGGCTTTCTTCAATTTTGTACATACAAACCTAGCTCAAATACAACTGGCTGGTATGTGGCAGGGGTGGGGAAGTATTGTAAAATTCAGCAACTCCATAACCATTCTTCAATCTAAACAGAAACTGACATTAAACTTACTGCTAATAACAGTAGATAGAACACAGTAAAGAGTTATACTGTGATCACAATACTGTACGGTTACAGAAAAAAACACATACACACATATACAATGGGATACGATAAACACTTCTTCAGCGTACACTACAGAATACGATGCCAGATGAATGAATATTAGCATGAAAAAAGTAAAAATACCATTTTCCATGCACAGCTGGGATGCAGAGTTAACAAGTCTACCAATTCAAGACTCATTGTACTAATCTGTTGAACTAATTCAAGTTTAAAGAATACCGCCACCACCAACCACAAATCATTTTTAATTTAAAGGAAGAAATCAAAGAATCATCTAATAACATATTTTGTTCAGGAAAATGCAACGTAACCAATCTGGAAACCTTGTCTACTCAAGCAACACGTTCTGCTGAGTTTTCCTAGAATGATGTTATAAGGGTTCCAGGGACTTGTGAAAACTGAGAGGATGTCCTCAGAGTGCAGGATGTGGAATGTGTTTTACTAACACATGATGGTCATGGCTGTGGAAAAGCTGACCTAGGGCTGCTAAGCTTTGTACAGTATTTTGAGAAACTACTACACATGCCAGGGTCCTTTATAAACTTTGTGACTGGTGTCACTACAAACCAAAAATGGATTCTACTTTCACAAAACAGTAAAGTCTATTGGTGTCTTTATGCAGTTACTCATAGGTAAGCCTTCTACAAATAGCAGAGGTCTGCCCGGGGATGGGGCTGGAGGGCCAGGCAGCACAGGTCTGCCCGGATGGGGCTGGAGAGCCAGGCAGCACAGGTCTGCCCGGGGATGGGGCTGGAGGGCCAGGCAGCACAGGTCTGCCCGGGGGATGGGGCTGGAGAGTCAGGCAGCACAGTCTGCCCAGGGGTGGGGCTGGAGAGCCAGGCAGCACAGGTCTGCCCGGGGATGGGGCTCGAGCACCACCTGTACAAGCACTGCAATGCAAGAACCTACACACTACCAAGCGATCACAAGGGAGTTCAGCTGAAGGAACACATTCCTTTGTATGTGTTGTGGAGAAAATGAGGGCTTGCAGAGTCTTAGCAAGAATATGGAAGGCTACCTTTTGGGTATTTCTGTGCCTTAGCATTTTCTTCGGTTTTGGTACAGTGGAAATGGTAGATGTTGTAATGAGTATTAATGGGTCTCAAGCAACTTTTAACAGGCAAAGGATGAGGAGGGGTAAGCACTTCAAAGTGGGTACCAACCTCCAATGCCCCACCTGTAAGACCAGAGGGTTGGACTAAATATATTTAAAGTTCCTTCCAGGTCCTTTCAATCTTTCTATAAAACTTAACAGTGTACGACAATTTTCCACACCCAAATATCCCAAAATGACATTCTGTACTCAATTAGAGGCAACACTTGGGATTTTAATATCCCATCAAGTTCAGTCCACCTCTGGCTTAGTGACGTACAGTTGCAAGGTCTATCCTCCTCACTAGGCATCTGTACCATTTTCTATTACAAAAAAAAAAAAAAAAATTGCAGGGACCTTCTTAGGGCAACCTCATCGACCCATTACAGAGCAGAGTTTTAGAACCTTCAAGTATAACACTGCAACTTACCTAAAAAAAAAAAAAGCCTAACCATGAGAAAGTTACTCTGAGAAAGTACTCCTATATCTAAAGGAAAATCTGAAGGTGGAGCTGGGGTAAGAAAGTACATTTTTGCCCAAATACTATTTAACGGCTCTTGAGAAACAATACTATGTGCCACACAACACTTTATGTGAGAGCCAATGCAGTGTAATGGAACATGACAGATAATCCACATGATAGTTTGCTGATGTCTGTCATAAATCCCCCATGATTAAGGCCCAGGGAGGAAAAAGAATAAGGCATAAAACGTAAAGCTCTTATTAATCAACTCTTTACCCACTTTACCCTCATTAGCAGCCTTCAAACCAATTACATTAAACAAAATCCAAAATCCCATTTCCTGTCTCCAAAACCCTTCAAGTCAGATTTTAGACATTACTTAACACCAATAGCCAGGTCTGGGCAGTACCCCAATATCAAGCACCAATAATTCTGCAGCAAATGAATAAAGTGGCTCCTTAAGTAGGAAAAAGACTATAGACAGCCTCTTGTTACTTCGGCACAAATGAATGCATCTGGGGAGAAAATTTATGAAAATCTTACGGGTTTTCAGAGCTCTTTGGATTTCAAAATTATGGATATAGGTGTGTGGACCTGTAGTAATTTTCTTCCCAACCGAAAAGATGGTAAGATGCCCTTTTGACCATACTATGTCGCCAGGCAACACAATAAGGATTTTTGTGTATTTCTAATATGATACAATAATTTAGAATATCTGAAATGTACAGCCACACAATGGAGTAACTGCTACCATAAAAACAACTCTGTAGGATATGCAATGACATGAAAAGATGTTCATAAAAATAAGAAAAAGCAGTTTAGGGAACAGTATTACTACATAATTCTATCTTTTTATTTAAAAAGGGGGAGGGTAGAAATTATAGCCACAGGATATAAATCAAAACATAGTGGTTATGTGTGGCTATTAAAACTATAAATATCCTTTTATTTACTTATACTTATCTCTATTTTTTCAACTCTTTACAGTGAATACCTAATACTTTGAAACAGAAAAAAAAGCAAAATTCACATTGAAGTTGATAAACTTAATTAGAATTAGGAACACTACTCAAAAGTTCTTACCTCCGATGATATAGATAAATTACAGGAAAATAAAAGAAGTGCTTCTGTTTTCTGCATTTCCCCTGGTTCCACCAACAGTTAATTGCCACAAACAACACCTGCAGAGCCAAAAGAGGTTTCAAATGACTATGAATAACAACTGAAAATTTACCAAGATTTAAAAGATAAAATTACAGACATGGAACTCTTCCTCTCTGAAACAGAAAGGTATGAAAAAATTGTTTCGAGTGTCCAAAGGCATCATGTACCACTATAATAAAAAAGACAGACTCTTTATGTACAGTGTCTAACTAGGACTCTGAATATTTTAGAATTTGGCCCAAGAGGAAAATTATTTGCTTCTGAATTCTAAAATGAATTCAATAAGCTTTTTCTAAGCATGATTACACTAAAACTTAGTAGAAGGATATGTATTTTGATAGTCAAACTGAGCATCTGAGAATGAAGTAATGTCACCTTCAAATAAAACATCACAAATTTCAAAGAACCATTTTTAATTACTATATTAAAATCTAAAGATAACAGATGAATAAATTGCTCTAAGATGCAGTACTGCATAACAAAAATATAGATTAAATATATATTTATAAGTGGATGCTGAAGTATTTAAGGAGAAATATTCCTATGTCTGCAATTTACTTTGAAATGTACCAAAAATAAGATGGATATTAATAGTTAGATCAACTTTGGTACTGTTGACATTTTTGGTTTGAACTGTTAAGAGTTTTTCTGCTGCTTATTTTTGCTGTGGGGGCTGTCCTACACACCGGATGTAGGGTGGTACAGGATGTGAAGCAGTACCTCTGGCCTCTACAAGCACCCGCCTTCCAAGTAGTGACAGCCAAAATCATTCTGCAAGGGCGCCAAACCTCCCCTGGAGGGAAAAACAACCGCCTCTAGTTGAGAACCACTGACTGAAAGGATGGCAAGATGAATAAAACTGGCCAAAACAATCATTAACAGAGTGTTTACTGTAGAATTTAAGTGGTGGATATAGGTAAAATTCCTTCACCTTTACCATTCTGTTTAAATTTTTAATTAAAAAAAATATATTAAGAATATAAGTGAAAAGTTGCTTTCAGATGCCTTATACTTACTAGACAGCAATATTGCTCAAAACAGAAACTCTTTAGAGCTCCTTCTATAGTTTATTTATGAGAAAGAAAGAAATCTTTACTTAAGGTTGGCATCTCAATTTTTACTGAAAAACAGGACACAACTTACCATATTTGCTAATTTACCAAGCAATGTAGCTCAAAAGATTTTTGCCTACTTCCAAAAGTAAACCCTTTTTCCCACTGAGAGCACAGAACAATAACTCTCAATCTGGAAGGGGCTGGAAATTTTCTGAAAAACTCAGTGCCCATCAGTTGCAGATGGCACTATGTCCTCTGCCACTTGTGTGCTTTTGAACAAACTGCTCTGCCCTGTCAGGCAGAGGTCCTGCTCAAAACAGGGATATCAGCATCAGCTCGCAGAGGGCCTGGCACACCAAGCACTATTCCTATAATCACTCTGAAGGACATACTACTTAAGTTGATGGTAACAAGTGACTGACACCCTAAAAATACAACAGATCCCCCTTTGTTCCCCATGTTCTCTAAATTCAGAAAACTTGGGGAAAGACTGACAAAGTGGTGATTACTTTTATGCTAACATACCACTTGCCTCCCAGTGCTCCATTAGAGTTTCTGGAAGTGTCTGCCAGTTTGGTTACTATTAGCCATTTTTAAAGGGGGCTGGGGGCAGGTAAAGGTGACATGGGGAATTGATCAAGTCCATAGGTCCAAAGTTGGAACACAAAATCACAACCCCCTTAGAATCAATGTCTTAGGGGACGAAGAGATTTATTTAAACAGTACTTGGTACCATTTTCAGGGATAGATACATAATGGTTAAAAAAACAAAGGCTTTATGAGGCTGGGCAGGAAACCTAGCCACCACTTACAACACTGTTTCTAAGAAAAACCAGCTGAGAGTTCCACATGAATTTGTGGAACTCAGCGGCCTGCACTAGTCACCTCAGACCAGTGGTTCTCAGCACAGTCCCTCAGAAATCTGTGGGATGCCTTTTGCTGGTTGCAATGACTGGGAGAAGCTGCAGGGCCTGGGGTGGGCAGGGGCTATGGCAGGTATCCTGCAATGCTCAAAAGAGCTTTGACAGGGAAGTCATCCACATCATCCAGAGCAGTTTTACATGTCCTAACAAACACTGATGTTGTTATTAGTCAAGCCCAGGACCTAACTCCATTTTAAATGTGAATCTAAATTCACCAAATTCTTTAGGGGCAACTTCTGTGTAAGTTAAGGGCAGAAAGTAGTTTGTTTGGTTTGGAACTTTACCAAAAGCTGTGCTGTTCACCATTTAGAAAAATCAAATCACTGACACCAATGCCCCTGTGGTACCTGAGACTACAACACATTGTATCTTTATCAGTCTGCATGTATAACTGCCCCATTCAGAGCAGTTCTATGTAAAGATACAAGGAAGGACCTATTTTGCCCAAGCATTCATATACTGAAACACGTATGACTTAAGTATACATTATTTTTCTCCTCCTCCCCATCTTTATGTTATAATTAGCACATTAGATTGACTATCTTAAAATTACATATACAGGGAAGTTTTATCATCTATGAATTCCTTTTCAGGACATAAAAAGGAATACCATAAAATATATATTGTTTTATAAAGGGAAATTTGGATCCACTGGATTGAAAATCACTGCCATTCAGATGACTCAATTGCCCATATATTCCTCTTTTCTAGCACAAAGCTGGCATTCATTAAATATTTGTTGACTATAGTTCTGGTGTAAGTATTTAAAAGGTCAGCCTATTACATGTAGTCATGATACATAAATTCCTCTTACATAAAATAACTGATTAGCAAATATCAAATGGGTATTCAACTAGCATTTTCATCCCCCCACCTCCCTTGGCACTGCAACCAAAGAGCACGGTACCCCAAGAGAACCGCTGACCTGCATCACAAGGACACGCAGAATATGCTCCCTCTCCTGCCCCTAACCAATGATGACAATCACAATCAGAAACCCTCTGTTTCTTTATAGGTTTTACAATTCGCAAAGTAAGGCTCCTAGCCTTCACTTTGGCAAAATCAGCCACCTGGGTCAGATGTCTCTAGTGGGGACAATCTGCCTTGCAAACAGGAATGACAATCATTTGATTCTTAGGCTGAATGGTCCGCATTACCTGGTCTGAAAGCTGACCTGCCGCCTGCTCAATTTCTGCCCTGGCAGCGATGGACTGTCCACACCACGGAGCATAGAAGAACAGCAGCACCACCTCCGAATCCCGTCGAACATGCTCAGCATAGTCCAGCTGCCCCTGAAAGAGGTCAAGAACTGGAGACCTCGAGGAGAAAAAGCTGACAGGTGGCTTTGCTGGTATTATCACATCTTTTGCTCGACTGAAAAAGAACAAAAACACAAACAAGATTGCGAACTTTTATCTTCTAACAACAGTTTTGTGTGGAAGGAGAATGAAGTGCAACATTTAGCAAAGTCTTCTTTTGAATTAAGTTCCCAAAACACTGACCTGGATTAAAAAAGTAGTATTCTGTGCTAAGGCAACATTTGGCTGTGAGAATGTAAGATATGAACATATTGATTCTCTAATATTGTCCCCCCAGACGTGGCATGGGAGGACAGTAGAGAACAGACAAAGATGTTTTTAAATAATCCATATTCTTGCCTCCTACACCCAAAAGACCCCATCCTCACCTTTCTTCAGACTTGCTCTCCACAGGAGCCACTGAGCTCCAGGGCTTCAAGCCATCAGTGAGCTGGCTCAGTAAGGGAAGGGAGCTACCACCAGTAAGATTTCTATGGGAAATTCTAGTAATCAGCCCAAGTTTGAGAAAGCATTAAGTTTACTAGCTGGAGTTGGCCTGTACTTATCCAGGGCGTTCATGAAAATAAATAAATAATAATGCAGATTTCTGCAGATTAATATCATGATCCAAAGGTTAAATAACAAGGCAACAGCCCAGTTAACTAGCAAACAGGCTTCCAGAGTACTTGAGGTTCCCAGAAGGGAGAGATCAGGAGGAGAATGTAAAAAAGACTGAACAAGTGTTCTGAAGTCACAGTACTGCCACTTTTCTCATCAAGACAGAAAGATCTTGATTGAGGCTGCATCCCACCAAGTTTAAGGAGCCTAGTAAACACCTTGAGCTATCCACATATCTGCACCAAAACAGTGTAAAACCATTAGAGCATTTTAGCCAAGATACCAGCAGAGGTAATAAAAATGGAACCCTAAAAAATATTTGATTAACCCAAAAGAAGGCAAGAGAGGATCAAGAAAGGTACAAAAACCAGAAGGTACAAATTAAAAACAAATAGCCAGAAGGTAGACTTAAACCCAACCATATCAATAATTACATCAAACATAAAGGGACTAAACCACCCAATTAGAAAAGACTGCCAGACTGGATAATGAGGTAAGACCCAACCACATGCCATCTAGAAAAGGCAAATCCTAAACATAAAGATGTATACAAGAGGGAAACAGACAAATGGGAAAAGATACACCATCTAAACAGTAAACATAAGAAAGCTGGAGTAACTTATTAGGTGAAAAGAATAAACAAACTGGAGTATATTCTTACAATTTAATGTTACTCAGCTATAAAAAAAGAACTGATATATACTATAACTGAATGAGTCTCAAAATTATACTGAATGAAAAAAAACAGAGCAAAGAACACATGTATGAATGCATTTATATGTACTTCCAAAGCAGGCAAATCTAATCTATAATGAAATGAATCACCAGTGGTTGTCCGGAGTGGGTGGGGAGACACTGCACAAGGGTACTGAGGAAATATTCTGGGGAGAAGGAAATGTTCTCTAGCTCCATTGAGAAGACAGAGGTGGTTACATATGCCAGAAGTCATAGACCTGTACACATAAAATGTGTGAATTTTACTGAATGTAAATTATACCACAACGAAGTTTATGAGAAAAAAATCTTGGCTAGGTGTCACCTCCTCCATGAGGCTTGCTCTGACAACTCTGAGGCAGGTAGCCCTCATTTTTTTCCAGGTCCCTGCTGCTTGCCTTCATAGCCTTCACTACAATCTGTAACACTTAGTTTATTATCTATCTACTCTACCACATCATTACCTCCACGAGGGCAAGGACCCTAACATTATCACTGTTATCATTGTTTCGCCATTCATGGTACTCTGAAGTTCAATAATTTGTGAAATGAACAAACCTACCCTACTTACCTCACCTGAACATATGCAAGAGCAAATTAAATATAAATCCATACAGATGTACATTATTAAGAACAGTCTGAGAGTCAAACTGGTAGGGGCCCATTTGCTTTACTAGGAATGATTCTAGGGGTCACCTAACTACCTTCTAACTTTCCATGTTTTCAGATGAACATGATAATCTGGTTTCTCAGAATACAGCAAAGTAGTAGGGAGGAGGAACTTGAACAAAGGTGCTGCCCGCTGAGATATGCAGCAGACAGCCAGATATTTAGAACCAAAAAAGAAAACGTGATAAACAGCAAGATGTAAGCTAATCTAAGGGCCTCGGATCATTTAATGTGAAGGAAAGAGTCCTACACGGCCCTCTGCATCTAGATTTTAGCTTCCTGAATTAAGAGGACAGTTTAAAATATATTACTTCCCTATTTTAACCAAAAACTGACATCATAAAGTAGCGGTGTTAGCTGGAGCAAACCTCCCATTTACTCACTCAAACTAATAATTTAACCCTGCAATGAGGGAGCTTTGTCTAAAGTAAAAAACCTTCATAACCTGAACAACTCAGTCATTTACATAATTCAAAAAAGTGTTCAATGAACAAATGTAATTGTGCTTCAGGCACTGTACTAGAAGGGAGCACTGAACACGGCGTGTTTTCGAGGGGCTGCCTTTCTCGGGGAGGAGGACCGCAAGCCACTACTCATGTAAGCTACAAACAATAAAAACACACAAAACTATTGCTGCTGTGTGGAGAATTGAACAGAATGATATGAAGGGGCGGAAGCTCCTCCGATAGGGTGTGGTCATGGCACTATATTTTAAGCTGAGACCTAACTGACAGGAAGACAGCCATGCAGTTGGTAAGGGGGGCCCTGTGCCAAAAGTGACCACTCACAAGAGCTCTATGGTGGTATTACTTTTCTACTATTCATATTGCATGTTAAAAAAGTAGGTTTGTGACTGCTAAACAAAACATCAACTTAGTATTATTGCTCTGCATGTTCAGAGCAGTTCCTAAAGTAAACAATGCAGGTAAAATGCCAGGTAAAATACGTAGCCCATCAAAAAGCAAACATTAACTAGGAAAGAAAAACATGCCTCTGCTCCATTAGAAACACAAGTTTCCACTTAACCTTTTAAATATGCTAACCATTTCTGAGAAATTACACCTAAATCAAAAATCCCCTGCACTTTTGAAGTCTATATCTCAGGTACAAAACTCTTAAGAGTTGGCTGCAAACAAAAAAGGCCTTTTGCAACTCCCCGGGTTTTTTTTTCTATGAGTTTTTTTTTTTAAGTTCCATGTGTGATACCATACAGTGTTTGCCTTTTTTTGTCTGGCTCATTTCACTTAGCATAATGCCCTCCAGGATCATCCATGTTGTCCAAGATTGCAGGGTTTCCTTGTTTCTGAGGGCTGAATAATATTCCATTGTGTGTGTGTATCTCCTACTTTCTTTATCCTTTCATCCACTGATGGACACTAAATCAGCATTTAGAGGAATAAAGTTTGAGCAATATACTGGAAAAGAAGAATAAAAATAAACTAAGAATCCAACTCAAGAAATCAGGAAGCTGCAAAAAAAAAACCTACTATGAGAAAAAAGGAAATAAAAGAGCCATGGAATATGTGTTTGAAATAATGGAATGTGTTTGAAAACAAACACATAAAAGAGGATTAACAAAGCCAGAAGTTGGTTTTTTGAAAAGAAAAATAAGATTGATAAAACTCTAGTAAAACTGATTTAAAAAATAAGAAAAAAATAACCAATTATCAGAAATCAAAACGGAAAACTGCAGATTATTTTTTTTATTCCCTTATATCTTTTACTATTTTTTTGAGTTCTCTTCATTTTTTCTTTTGAGGTTTTTTCTTTTTTTAATTGTAGTACCGTTAATACACAATCTTATGTTGGTTTCAAATGTACATCACAGTGGTTCAACAGTCCCTGTGATCAACTTATACTGTGATTGCAAATTATTGTGTTCCTTTATCCCCCTCCCCTAGCAACTCTCAAATGTTTTATGAGATTAACACCCTATACCTCCTTCTGAAGAAGCGTTGAAATTACAAAATGCAATAAAGCAAAATGAATATATGTATAGACATACATATATAGATACAATTTTTTCCCCTCCATATCAAGATACAGGGAAGTAAGCAGGATGAAGTCATGGAGAGTCAATGCATAGGAAGGCAGGTAGGACAGAGATTAAATGCCCAGAAATGCACAATCACTAATTCAACTTTTTTTTTATACTATCTGGTTTGAACTCAGCTAAGCAACAGACACCAAAGAGAGTTGTCACTTACTTCTGGAGTTATTAATAAAAAATAGACCTGGAGTTATTAATAAAAATTAAATTAAAAAAAACCCCTAATATCCCTTAAGCCTCTGTCCTCATTAACACAAAGATCTTAAAAGTAGAATAGGGAAAGGGGACCAGAAATATTCCAGTCAGTTGTACAGAAATAAAATAGTATCATGACACCACTCAATCAAACAAGACAAAAAAAAAAAAATCAATCTGAGTCTACCAAAAGACTGTCAAATTTGCCAGAGGCACACAAAGGAGCTGGGCAGGTGGGCAGCAGTTCACTGGCTCACACGTTTAGCCTGAAGCAGGTGGGACCTTGCTCTGCCTGCTCCAGCAAACTGGTTTTACACTCTTTCTTGTCTTGGAATTTCAAGTCATGTTCTCTTTGAACAAACACTAAGCATTTTTTCTCATAGATGGACAAACCGATGTCAGTAAGTTCCACATGTCTGGAGGGGGGAAAACCTCACTTCCTAATTTGAATCCAAATGGCACCTTGCAATTATTTACCTTATACAACACTTTATCTTCCTTGTGTGGGACATGACATAGCAACAAGGTTAAGAGTCAAGAACCAGACAATAAAAGATTCAAATTCCAGCTCAGCCACTGAATAAGTAGATGTGATTTGGAGCAAGTTTTGTAACAGGACGAAAGCTCAACTCCTTCATCTGTAAACTGGAAGTATAAGAGGATAACCAGACTTCACTGGGAACTGAGATTTAAATGATCGATACTTGGCTCTAAGACTGTGTTAAATGAATAAAAGCATTTGTGTGAACTGTAGCTCTCAAGCAGGCAACTTTATTCCCTGGGGAACATTTGGCAATGTCTGGAGACATTTCTGATTGGGGATGGGGATGGTGCTACTGGCATCTGGTAAATTCAAGACAGGGATGCTGCTAAATATCCCGCAATGGACAGGGCAGCCTCCAGCAACAACGAAGTATCTGGCCCAAAACAGCAAAATTGCCCAGGCTAAGAAACCCTGCTAATAGTATAGCACTTGGCACTTGGCAAATGATCAATAGTTACCCTAACTTGTTCTCTTTCCACTAAACCCCTAAGGCTTTGACAACTCTTGGACAGTGTCGACCTACTACACTTAACATACTCAATTGTTTCAAATTGAAACTTAACTCGTGGTCAATATGCCAGCTGGCAACAACACAGACTTATAAACTGCAGTCCCAGGAGATACATTGAGGCCAAACGTACGTCTGAAATTTAAAGTAGATTTTGTATTTGTGTACTTTCCCAAAGACAGGCGCATTAACTTTTCATTTTTCCTGTTGCCTCTGCTCCAGCCTACTGAGGCCTTCTTTCCAATTCCAGGAAAACCCCAGGCTTGTCCAGCCTCAGGAGCTTTGCATTTGCTGTTCCCTCTACCTTGGACACTCGCCGCCCAGATTTCCCCAGGGCTGGCCCCTTCCCCTTCTCGTTTGAGCTTCCTTCAGGAAACGCTTTCGGCCCGCCATCCCCTCGCACCCCACCCCCCCAACCTCCCGCACGGCACTTACAGAGCCTTTAAATTACACTGTTCACTTGTTTACCACCCGCCCCACCCACGGGAATGGACAGCGGGGGCTTTTATCTTTATCGCTGAGCTGGATGAGTGCTCCCCAAAAGGTAGGTGCGGATAAACAATCCTTAGATCAATGAGTGCAAGAATTCTCAAGGTCTGGGATATCTAATGGCTGTGAACCCCTACACTCGAATCATAAACAAAATGGGTGATAAATGAGGGTCCTACAGGATGGGCAGAAGTCACCGGTGCACCCCCAGAAAACCCCAATGGGGAGAGTAGCTCAGCACCTGGCCCACCCACCTCGGTACCATCTGTCTGTACTAAAATGGGAAGAAGAGGCGCCGAGCAGCACCCCAAGGCCTCGCCATATGGCTAGCTGCCTGCTGACCAAGGAGAAGTGGCGGGCATGGCCGCAGGCTGGGGGAGGATCAGGTCCGCCGCTCCACGCGAGGTCAGGCCCGATAGCCCCTCCGGAGCCGCTACGACCCCCGACCCTGAGGGCCTCGAGCCGGCCACGCGCGGCAGGCGGGCCGCCTCACCTGCACGTAAACTTGAGGGCGAGGAGCAGCGCGCAGCCGAGCGCCACAGCCCCGCAGAGAAGCTCGGGCCGCCGGCGCGCCATGAGGGAGGCGCCGCGCAGTCCGCGGCGGAGCCGGCCCGCCGGGGACGCTCCGGCCGGGGCCGGGCTGTGGGAGCCAGCGGGGCCGCCGCCGCCGCCACCCTCGTCCTCGGCGTCGTCGCTGCTGCTGCTGCCGCCGCCGCCGCCGCGGCCTCCGCATTCCGACATTACATGCTCCCAGTCGCCGGCTTTATACCGCCGCCGCCGCCGCCGCCGCCGCCGCCGCCGCCGCCGCCGAAGGCCCTAGGGCCCGGCCCGGCGCGTCGCTCCCCAATCCCGCAGCTCGCCGCGCCCGCTAACCCGGAGTCTCCACGTCAGCCCGGCCGCCACCGCAGCGCCCGCCCCCGACCCGCGGAGTCTGCGCGGACCCCGGCTCCGCTCGGAAGCCACGCCCCTGTGGGCCCCGCCCCCTCGCCCACGGAGCCTGCGCGGACCTCCTCCACCCCCGCCCGGCCCGCCGCTGGGCAGTCTCCCTGGGGCCCCGCCTCTGTCTCGGGGTCTGCGCGTGCGCCCGGCTGCGCGTCAGACCGGCGCCGAAGCGGCAGCCTGCTTACCCCGGCGTCCTCACTCCGGTCGTCAGTGCAGTGATGCTTACAGTGGTTGTGCCCGCTAGTCTCACTACAGACCTTGGAGGACCTAGGTGCCGTTTATTATCCCTGCTAAACCGAAAAAACATGTGCAGAGGCGAAAAGTGCCCGAGGACCCGGGAGTGAGGCGGCGGCGAAGGGGACGGGAGAGGGCGGTTCACTCACCTCGGTTTGCACGTCTGTAGAATGGGGTCTGTAGCAGTATCTCTCTTGCATGGTTGTTTTGAGGTTTAAATGAGGTAATACGTGGAAAGTGCGAGCCTATAGTGGGTGCTAAATAAATCTTAGTTATTGTTGTCTCCCAGTGTCCACGGTCTCCATTAAATGCAGTGTGCCCAGCACACCACAGCCCTAGGGCAGGGTCTGTACTGTCTGTACTCACTTTACGGGTAGGAAAACTAAGGCGTGGAAAAATCCTTTGACCGAGGCGACAAAGCTCGGAGGCGAGAAATTCAGACTCAAAGGCAGGCTGCCCTGGCTGTAAGCCGCCCCAGGGACCCACTCTGACTCTCAATCTTCTCTGACTGACGTATGTTAGGTCCTTCCTAAATAAGTTTTGTGATCAGGAAGGACGTCGGTGAGGAATGAAATGTGATTTGAGAGTGACAGGAAGGAATTATTTCCATGAGAGAGAGGGACACGTGTACTTGGGACCAAGTGAATGTCCCTAATTCCACAGCTGTTGGGGCCGCAGATCAAGACTAGACCTCGCTGTCAGTATCTATAAACCAGGCAAGTAAACGGAAGGAACCAAGTTACTAGATGCCTAGCAAAAGAGCAAGCAGAAAGCATGGCTGCGGCCCCTCCTCTGCCACGGGGCAGCTGTGTGACCCTGGTGCAAGGTTTCCAGGATGTAAAATGCGGCTCCCAGTGCCTTCCTTGGTAGCTGGGCCAGAGCATTCAGTGCATTGAGCACGTGTTTGTAGCTCACTCAGCCTACCTTTTGCTATTTGTTTTCTGTATCTCACATCTCTTGTTCTTTCTTATTTCCTTTTTCATTATGTGGATATTTTCTAGTATACCATTCATTCCTATAATGATCTTAAACTTTTTAAAAATGTATTTTCTTAGCAGTTGCTCTGGGGATTGCAATATCCATTTTTTCAGAATTTATGTTTAGATTTATGTTTAAGTCCAATAAGACGTAGCAACTGCTCCGATAGAGCACCATTCCCTCTTCCCTTTTTTGTGCCATTACTTTTTTATCTGTTATATTATAAACCCAGTAATACATTGTTGTTTTATATAATCTTGTTTATAGACAAGATTATATAAAGTGAAAAAGTGAAAAAAATATATTTCTAGTTTTTTAAATATTAACTTTCTTATTTACCATTTCTTGCTCCCTTGATTTCTTTGTGTGAATTTGAGTTACGTAGTGTATTACTAACAAAACCAAATAAGGTCAAAAGTCACCAGTCCCTGTTCACTGTAGGTTGCTAGGACAGAATCTACTGTACTCTTCTGTAAGACACCTGTCGTTTGCACAAGACTTTATTATGAGGTTCAAAGTACTTTTGCTGCCTGTGAGTTATTTCATGAGACCCACAATACCTTGTGGCAAGGCAGGGCGGCATCTTACAGGCCAGGAAACCACTCTGGATTAATAAAAGGATGATTTCTTTCCTCTTTTTAGACATCTGGCTGCTGCTCTGGTACCAGAATGTTCTGAAGCAATGATAAATTCATTTCAGAATACCCCAGGCAGTCAGCATCAGGCTGCACCACTCTTCAAGGGAGGGTCAGCCCTAACTTGTCCACATCAACCAGTATCTGAGCTTTCCTGGCTGCTTTTTTTGCCATGATCTGGTTGGTGGGCTTTGAGAAGGGGACATGGGGGGGTAGGGGGGAAGATTTTCTTTATTTACACACACACACACATGAGGCATTCATCCTTTGCAACAACTACTGGCAAGAAGCCTGTATTCTAATCTGTCCAGGCCAACTGAAGAGAATTTGAAACCAGCACTAACTGTCCAGAGAATGTGCTCTCCTTCGGTTTCCCAGCTGATGCAGGTTTCTGGAACGGAGGGGAAATGAGTGTCCAGGACTCTATGCAAACAGTCTTCCAAAAGGAAGCAGCCCTGGGAAGGGTGAAGGTGGAGGAGGGCCAGCTCCTCTGTGGTGGCAGGTGGGGCCAACGACTGGGCAGGAGGTGTTCCTGGGAGCAGGAAGGACACACCTGCAACCTCCTCGTATCTCCAGGGCTGATGGGGGCAGCTTGCTGCAGCCAGTAAAATTTGCACATGAATGTTCATATTCACAAGAGCCAAGAGAAACCCAAATGATCATTCACAGAGGGATGGATGAACAAAATGTCTTTCCATATCCTGTCACAACATGGATGGACCTTGAAAACATGCTCCATGAAGAAAGTCCCAAAAGGCCACATATTCTATGATTCCACTTATGAAGTGTCCGGAACAGGCATAGCCACACAGAAAACGGATGGTTGCCTGCCACTTTGTGAAGCAGGCGGAGTGGGTAGATTGGGGTGTGGGGTTTTTTTAAGGTAATGAAAAAATTCTAAAAATCACTGTGGTGATCGTAGCACATTTGGAATATACTTAAAACCACTGAATTGTACTTTAAAGTGGTGAGGTTTTTGTTAACATGAATTGTACTTCTATTTTAATGTTGAAAAAACCCCAGCCTGTGGAGATACACGTCCAAGGGGATACGCAGTCGCCACGGTTTGCTCCCGTTAACGCCGGAGCCAGAGGTTTGCATTTTTATATCCTCATCCTCTCCTTTTCTCCCTCTCTGCTCGCTCTCCGCGGCAGCGCACCATTTGCTTCTAGGATGGCGTTGTGATTTCACCAGAATAACTAACAGGGACTTCCTAATGATGAGGCCAGGCTGTGGCTGGTGAGGCTCTCTGCTGCAGGCCCGAGCCAGAAATGGGCTGATTTGGGCAGGAATGGAGTTTTATTTAGAGGATGGTTTGGAGTCCCAGGAATTCTGAGAAAGACAAAAGCCAGACGCAGGGAGAGTGAAAAACAAAAAATTCTCATCTTGATCACCCTCAGAATCTCAGGCTTTAAGTTTCTAGCCTAGAGTTCGAAGTTAAGACAACCAACTTTTTAATCTGTAAACTGAAACAAAGCACCAGAGATGACTTTTTAACATCTATTCTCCGTGGGGAAAAAGGACAAGTTTGGGAGACAGGAAGGAAAAGAAACGGAGACCTAGCAGAATGGTAGCCTCGCCAGTCCATTCCACAGGAATTGTCACCCCTAACATTACTGGGCAACTGAGACACACTCCTAATGCACCTGCCAGGTAAAACTGGCCTAAGCTGTCCACACATACAGGGAAATCAGCCTCTCCCACTATCTTCAAGGAGTCACCCCACCCCCAGCCGGGACTCTGCCCCGGCAACACCTGCCCGACTTCGCTCGCCAGCTCCCCGGGCCCCGCCTCTGGAGCAGGCCAGGGGCTCGGAGAGGACTGCTCAGTCCTTTGTCTGCCAGCCGGTCCTGACCGTGCGTTCAGTGGTCTCTCAACCACCCAAACGCCCTTGTGGACTGGGTGCTGACAGTTGTCTGTGGCATCCCACAGCCCACCTCTTAGCCGACCGTTTGTCTCCCTGCTAGTCATTCATCGGAATGAAACAGAAAGACCCCAACAAGAGTTCCCGTGTCAGTCAACACGAGAAGCCTTTTTTCCACCCCAACACTGAGAGAAATAGGACCCAGAGAAAAGCTGCTTTCATGTCCCTCTAATCTTTATTCTGTCACTAAATACTTAAATAAAACTGTTTAAGAAAAATCAAACCTTGAGACTTTAGTCCCCCATTTCAGGAAAGGACCACACCAAAACCTGAAAGGCATCTATATATAAAGTCTTTATTACAGGCAGTATTGGTCCATACACTACACGATTCCAACAGTACAAGTTTAATCTTTCAAAGTCATCATTTAAACAGCAAAAGACCAAGAAATAAAATTTGAGTCAACTGATTATTTTTCAAAATAGTCTCAATGCACATAATCCTTAGTTCCCTTATTATAGTGAAACATACAAATACAGAAAAATACCCCATTTAACATATACTAGTGTTAAATGGTTTTTTGGCTTAAAATCTGAGTTAAGAAAATCCTTTTTAGCAACCTACATACAGATAAGTAGCAAACTTTGTGATATTAAACAAACTCATTCTGCTTAAAACGTGAAAAATTTCATCCATCATGTGTTCTGATTCTAGTACAAGTGTTTACTCTTTCACCATCATGATTCTTATCTGAAGGACCAACTCAAGGAGTCATCCTAGATATAACCTTATCTTCTTTCCCAACAACTTCATCCAAAAGTCTGTCCAACAGATGGCAACCAGGCAGCGGTCACTTCGCCATTTGATGCCAGTGGTGCCGTGAGAGCATGGCCAGACCTGTTAAACAGCCCATTTTCCTACCTACTGTGGGTTGCTGCTCAGGAGGGACGAGAGACGCCAATACAAGCAGAGAATCTGCAGCCCCTCTGCTACGTGCCTTAGAACACTTTCAATTTTTCTGGTCAATGCTCTGATTAGGTAACATACAGAAAAGCCAGCATATTAGTTTAAATCTTTAAACAAAAAACTATATTTTCCAAAGTCATTATCATTTGGGGCAATTAAGTGATCTTTTCTTGCTTTGTTGAGCTTCATCTTTAGGGCATCCCTTCTTTCTTCCCATTCATGAAGTTCAGCGTTTCCGTG